GATTTACAGCGAACGGTGACATATCTCTACACATTTACATTTAATACGCCATTCAAGTATAAATGGTGTTCGATAAACATGTTATGGTACTGAATATTTGCTCTGTTTCGATTTATCTTTGTCCATAGAATGCATGGTAGCTATGATTTATGTAACAATATGCTTTCGTAGAATCATAAATATAGTCTAGAAGCTGGGGGTTTGATTATCGATGTTTTTAATAAACAATAAAACGTCAAATGATACAAAAATTACCACATTTTAATTATGGAACAAACGTGGAAAAACCTCTAGATCATGAATCACGTAAGTTAAATAAAAAATCGTAAATTTCATTACATTTAAACAAAAATCTAGGCATCAAAAATATGAAAAACTTAATACAAATACAAATTAATTATAACCTTAAGTAATTTGAAATGTTGTTATAAATACTTTCTTATAATATCACCAATTTAAATATTTATAATTTCAAGTTAGCAGTAGTAGACATTAATATAGCGGGATAACAAGCGGACCAGAATGTCTTTCTAGGTCAGAGGTGGTGAGTGCAATTATGCTAATTACGCTCGGGACGTGATGATTGCTGGACAATTATTTTGCGGACCACTGCATAAAACCTGCATTTAATCTCCAATGATTATGTAAAGTCCATACTATACAGGGTCAAACCTAAAGTTATTAATTCAAAGTCCATATTATAGAAGGTCAAACTAGAAGATTCTAGACAAATAAGACAATTTCCATACCTAAACTTGATGTTGCTAATAAAAATTATGAACAATAAATTATTGACTTATTAAACACTAGCTGTTGCTCGCGACTTTGTCCGCTTGAAATTAAAAATATAGCTTATGTTGTTCACTGATAATGTAGCTTTCTAATGGTGAAAGAATTTTTGAAATCGTCCCAGTAGTTTTTGAGTTATTTCAATACATACAAAAATACAAATCTTTACAATATTAACATAGAAGAATGATTTTGAAAGCACATTTTCTTTACATCAAATATCCAGAAACAGTTACCTGATGCAATGGTATAAAATAGTTACTACACACCACCTAACTTATTATATCTTAATGCTAAACCAGTAGGTGAACATCTATCAAAGTATTAAAGAATTTATAAATTATATACATAGAAGGTGAAGCCGCGGACGCAAACGAGTCTTAAATATATCTTGTGTATATTTATCGAGAGTAAATACGTTTACTAACAGCATAAAGACATGGCTATAAATTGGGAATGTTTTACGCGGCCGATAAATGGCCTGGGAATTTTTATAAGTGAATTTCGAATGATTTATTCGAATCTTTTTTGAGTTAAACGAACAAAAAAAAACTTTTTGAGTTAAAGTACCCTTTGCATTTCAATAAACAATATCATTAATCGCCGGTTTCCTAGCTACTTTTAACAGTTCCTTAGTGTTTTTGTTTCGATAACTTCATGAAATGTGTTTCCGAGCGATGTAATTTAAATTTTACTCTGTTGAAACATAGTTCAACTAATGAATCACTAGGCAATGATAAAATAAATGGAAACCAGAAACCAAGCATAAATGGCGTATTGTAGATGTAACGATTACAATTCCCCGCACGTCGTGTCCCGTATTACGAACTAATAAAAACGCCGTAAAATCTTTTAAATTATCTATCAAGCACTGTTAATGCCTTCAAATGATGTGCAAATCTACAAGTTGTCTGTGAACTTGATTTTATTGTAACAGTAAGATTAGCCATTGACTTAAAAATCGCACAACCGTTGTGCGATTGTCGATTGTTTCGCAGACTCAACTGTTTAGTTGCACAACTAAAAATCGGGTAGTGTTCGCACCTACATATAAGCTAACAGGAATCCAAGCGAGACTAGACAAATATGAGATAGTTTAGTTTTACATGCCACTCGAACATCTCTTTTCATTAGTTTTCTTGACTGAGATAATTAAATTCCTTTGTCTCGCCGTCTTAAGTAACTTACGCTAAATTAAAAAATTAAAGCATTTGATCAGTGATTTCAAAATTAAAATTCAGCGTAATTTAAAATAGACCCGTCTTAAAAACGTTAGCATCGCGTGCTTACAGACAATAAAACTACTACGAACGTAAGTAACAGATCTGACAACGGCTCACCGAATTGGGTCAATCTATTATACCCATATATGCGATTTTTAAGTGCTGACGGACACTTAAATATACGTGTTTTTTTTATAACGTAAGGTGGCAAACGAGCAAGCGGCCACCAGAATCCACCGAAATGGAAAGCGACCGCTTCCCATAAACATTCGCAATTGCAGATGCATTACCTTAATTGACGAAGGAGGAGACGCACATAAAGAGAACATCTTCCCTTCCTATGCGTCTCCTCCTCCGTCAAATCCACTTTTTCTTCCCTTCTGTCCTCTAAGAAAAGGGTGGAAAGGGAAAAGAGCTAAAATTAGGCCTCCGGCACCACACTCATCAGACGAAACGCGGATTTGCTTCCACTTCACGAGTTTATGTATCATGCTGTTGCTATTAATTACATCAATTAAATTTTACATAACCGTGATTTATCAATACAAAGGCCTGGATGAAAACATTTGTTATGCTATTTGATCAAGGAGAGTAAAAATAAACAAATTCAGTCTAGGAATTTAATAGTATTTTAGATTTCTACGGTAATAGTAGAAATGAACCAAGAAGAATTATAAGAACTCAACAATTTGAACTCTTACTTTTCTGAAAGCGATTTCATCAGAAAACCATGAAATGTTTTAGATAAGTTGTCGAGCCACGTTATGGTAATGGACATTCTTTAAATTGGTTCCCATCGAGTGGACAAGTAGATCTCATGTTACTAATGCTCGCAAACAAGCGTAGTGTGGACACGATGTTTATTGCTGTATAATACGATTCAAAATGTATGCCGGCTTACCCTAGCGTTTCTCGCTTTTTGACTGTTATCGTGAATCGTAACACAAGCTTCGAACACATTTGGAATAGTTCAAAGAAATATTAATAAAAGTTATATTATGTGCTAATTAAAAATATAAGTATCAAAAGGATGCAAATAGATGCTAAACTTGAGCAGTGTCTTCCACTCGTAAATTCGATCTCTGAGCGGTCATAAAATTTGAATCTTGTAATACCGAGCTCCGATACTTTATGACGACACGTAATCGATATCTCGCAGCTTCCGGGCTTTTACCAGCTCGTTTCGTATTATGATCGATTTCAAATATCGATATATGTAACTATTTTATGATTGAAAGTCTAATGACAATAATTTTAAATAGACAATTACGATTTTACAACACTTTTATTAGCACATGAATATATATTAAAAGTTAAGTATGTTAAAAAGCTGAATATCGTAGTCCATCGAATGTAGTCCACGCATTTCCAAACTTATTTGTACTAACGGTAACAAAAATCTACAATCGTCTTAACAGATGTGCATTTAGTCGACAAACCTAGATAATTTTACCAAAATTACATCGCAAACAATTTCGTAAAACGTCTGCATGAAACACGCGATTGTTTTAGAGGAAAATTAAGATGTGTATTAAATTCACGCAGGTTAAATGAAGCTGTACAGGGACTGCTTTTAACAGTCGACAGTTCACGTGGTCGGCGACATTTTAACAGACTGCTAACTGCATTTCGTGTATAGCTTACGTCGACCACTGTTGTCGGTAGCGTTTGCTTGCAGTCCGTGTATAGCATCAGTATTTCTCTGCAATGTATTACAGGTCGCCGCTACACATTCTAACTCTCACTGGCCGCACCACTAACACACTCGAGCACGCGCGGATACCATCTCCAGCGGAGAGTCACCATACGTTTCGCTTTTACAGGACATTCCTGCACGCTAATTTATTCTAACAGCATAACATCTGTCAACGAATAAGCCTCTAATTTATAACCTATTGCTGTAAATTTATTTATTGCATTCGTCGTTCTTTGCACCTTTTGTAATTTATCGAGTAGTTACATAAATAATAGAAAATAAAAGTGAATAAATGTAACAAACAATTGGTATAAAATGTAACGTGTCCTAATTAATAATCTTCAAAATTGGCGCTTGAAAGTCGTAATATCCTACCATAAAATATTTAATGAAATAATAAACATAACGTCTAAAATTAATACTAATGAAATTTGACGTGCTTATATTAATTTTCCTTGACGTTTTAATTAAATGATTTACTTTAAGTAATTATCTGATATTTGTATAAAATTGTTTTTGTTTACTCCTGTCTATATGAACAAGACGTTTCGATTATATGAATAAGCGATGAATAAATAAATTGTTTACGATTTTACTTTTTGCACCAATTTGAGTTGAAATATTCAAATTGTACATCATCCTGGGAATTAGATGAATTTTGGTGTCTATAGCAACGGCTAGTGGATTCGTTGCATTTTGCATGAGCATTAGATATCTCTAGAATATTGTATCGCTCTATTATTCTGCATACATCATGCTCTTGTTTTACCTCTTGCACCTTGATTTTATACTTGTAAGTACTTTGACCATAATTTTCAAACATCATAAACTTACAATTAACAGAAAATTTACCAATATCTACTTGTAGACTTTTATAGTTTGAAATTCTTGTGGTCAATTGGACTACAAATCAAGTACTTAACTATTTGTATCAGGCATGTAGGGTTATCATCGGTTAAACCAACACTATCAAGTTGCGGTCGCAGTCAAAGCGGTTTGCGGCATCTTGCGGCCACCGGCTGTTCACCGCTTCAGCGATTTTGTTCATTTTTTGCACGATGACGATTTCTAAATCATTTAAATACGCATGTTACAAACGAACATATGCAATTAATGCATCCATAGTTTCTGTGTTTGCTTTCGCGTGTCCATTTAACATGCGTTACACAAAGAATTAATGTAATTCAAATAATCTACAAGTAAATTATTTATTGAATTCACATCTGTTTATAATAATTTTATTTGACATTATAGAAATACAATTCTGAAAATATTCTTGATCTATGACTTACGTTTTCAATGACACCGTAACGTAATCCGTTTAGAGCACAAAACCATATCACTGTCACAATTCGTAAGTTGAACGCGGTGATTTTATATATTTGAGAGGCGCGTGCGTGCGTCTCCGATGCGCAAGCGCGACTGACCGCTGCGATCCACCGGGATGTATCGCATCGTGCAAGTAAAATCTCTTTCTGCCAAACGTAAAAGTGGTCAACATTCTAAACGTGATTCACCCCGTTTTCCTGACTATCTGCTGAAAGTTTTTCATAACAGTTTGTGCTACTTTATTTATATTTAGTCACAATTCATTCAGTTAACATTAACAAGATTATTCTCAAAGTAAACTCTCCACAAACAGTAGTTTGAATTTCTGTATGTTTTTGTAAAGACAATAAATATTTTTTTTAATATCCTCACATATAAATATATTCTCGTATGTTCATTGAATCGTGTAAGCTTGTTTTCATCTGATTGCACAGGAAATATTAAATTTGACGTCTTAACTTTCATACATTTTCTATTCCTATTCGCATCAGTGATCTTTTAGTGACGGTGAAATGTTATTACAGTTTATTGGATGTTATTATTATATGGATAATAACATAAGCTATAAGTGTAGTTTTTATTTCATGTAAATATTTATTTTGATATTTTAAATTTCATTTATTTTAAACAAATTAAGAGTATTCATACTAAAGACTTCAACGCAAATCTATATCTTCCATACCTATATGTAATAAAATTGGAATGTCTATGTGTAACATCAAAAGATAAATTGCAGATATAGAAAGGCGATGTATTTTCGTTGCTGATAACAAAAATCGCATTTAAAAAAAATTGTCTGTCTGTTTGACAGCAAGCTGCGTTTGTTCCGGGTAATCTCCGAAACGGTTGGGCCGATTTCGACCGGAGTTTCACTGTAGGGTAGCTGATATAGACGGGTATATTATAGGCTACTTTTTTATCTTAATATTGCGTGAAAGAAGTCGCGGACAACAGCTAGTTTTAACAAATATGAGCCATTTTTATGGATATTTCCCATGAACAATCGGCTTCACGACCAATCCAATGGGAAAAATTTCCGCTAGGCTGCAAAATTTTATGGATTCGGTACAGTGGGGAAAAATCTCATCAGGCCAATCTTCCCAACGGAAACAACCATTTTAACTAGTAGTAATCAATAAAATAAGTTTAATATTTAAAGGCCTACCCACTGAACTACATACGAGTTTCCTTAATAGGAAATGGAAGTCGCTAATTATTAGCAATAACTTCATGTCAAATACTCCTAACGGATGTTTTACTCACGTTTATAGTGCTATTAACGAACGTAAGCTAAATTAATATTTTAAATATGTTTAACCGTTAAACTAAATATTTACCATATTCAATTTAAAACAGTCAAACTTCGAGTCGGTAAATGCTTCTTAAATAAATTATGTGCCTTTCTTTGCTTGTAAAATTAAACACAGTAAGTTCGAACTGCACAGTTTGAACTAAACAATCGAATTTAAAATTTACATTTTTAGAAAACATTCTGACTGTCAAATGTTTATCTAAACCAGTGATTCTCAACCTTTTTTGTTGCGTTATATATTTAACGTTTTCAAAATTTGATGGCACACAAAGAAAAAGATAAAAATTATTTACTTAATACAACATACTGTATAAGTTTATGATAAAAATATGCAAACTTTGGCAGCACACAAAAATGCCGCGGCATAGTGGTTGAGAATCACTAGACTCATCAACTTAATATGAAAGTGTAGTTGTGTTTAATGTATTTTGTCTGCATTATGTGTAAATATAAAGCAAAAATAATAAAAATTTCTTAATTATCGTTAGTCATTTGTTTACTCTGAATGTCAGGATCAAATGAAAATTCAAACGAATCGTTAAGTGTTTATCGAACAAACTATTAGTTGTTCAATGAGTTACAAATGGACATTGTATTTTAGATGAAGAAATAATCGCACAGTTCGGTGAAAGTGACGCAAGAGATATTCGCGGATATTACTTTACTTCCCACGCGGTGAGAAGGCTGTCAAAATAACCAACGCAGATAATTGATGGTAACGATAAATGAGGCAATGAAGAAATTCTAATAAACGCATCAGTGAGCATTATAACTAAATTTAATTAAAAAAGTACATTTTTTTAAAGAAAGAACATACAATCAACCAGCAATAGTAGAGTAACTACAAGATTCGTGGCCCTTGAGGAAATGATACGCTTCTTAAAGGAGTCTTACCTCATTAATCTCCAATGAGAAGAATTAAACTAAAAAATAAAACTATATGTTGAATATAATTAATAAACACAAGCTTTCGCCCGCGTCTCTGTCCGCGGGCAATTAAAAAAAAAACAAAAGTAAATAGCCTATGTGTTCTTCCAGACTATCCTCTACATCTACACCTAATTTTATCGAAATCCGTTCAGCTGTTTAGGCTACAAACTCTAACAAACATCCATCTAAACTTTCACATTTATAATACTCGTATTAGTAAGATATGATTAGTAATATTCTACACCAGGGGAAAAATTAGTTTCAGAAACTTACAATAAAATGGAAAAAGAAAACTATGTTTTAATTATTTGCTTCCCACGTTATTAACGCAACAATAAAATCGATACTTTGTATTTGCGCATAATAATTATCGTATCAGTGTTAATAGTTCTTCCATTGTTATTTGTAAATAATTAATTAGCTACTATTCCAATCATATCGTATATTTATCAGTTCGCATATTGGTGTTGTTTTATGTATGAGAAACGGTAAATTAAAATTCACATTGCACAATCTTCCCAATATTAAACCTAAACACGAAAGTTTAAATGAATGGTTGGATGTTAGAATTTGCCGCCTAAATATCTGTACGGCTCTCGATGATTTGGCATAGATGTAAAGAAAAGTCTGGAAGAACATATAGGAACACTTTTGTGTATTCTTTCAATTACCTGTGAACGGATACACGACCGAAAGCTAGTTTTAATTAGAAATTATATAAAGAGAAAAGATTTGATTGTAAGCATTGAATCTTAAAAACTACTGAACCTATTTTAAAAATTCTTTCGCCATCAGAAATACGAATAATAGGCTAACGACGAATAGGCTATATTTGACAACAATGGGTAGTTTATAGATATTACAAAAAGATATGAGACGTACATTCTACCCAGGCAAAGCAGGTGTGGATCGTTAGTCTATACTGGTATTATAAAGAGGAAAGATTTGTAATTTTAGATTTTTGTATATATTGAAATAACTCAAAAACTACTGGGCCAATTTCAAAAATTCCTTCACCTATAAAAAGCTGCGTTATTACTGATTAACAGAGGTTACATTTTAATTCTACATGGATAAAGTCGCTAGCAACAGCTAGTTTGTAAAGTAATAAGTAATAAACGCTTTAGAATTTTTATATCAAAAAAAAATTGTGTAAATTCGCATCATGCGTGCACAATGATCGTCAACTCGATTCACGTCTTGTTGACTAGTGAAATTACATTACACAGTTGTCTTCTTGATTGATGTGTATTCTGCGATATTTATCAAAGTCTCGTTAACAACAAAGTATCGGCTAGTGACGAGTAACACATAAATAGAAAACTCATTCACTCATCCTCGGTTGTGAAGTGGAAAAATAACTGACGACGCCAATTTGTCTATAATAAATAAACAGTATTTTATTGCTTTATCAAAAACAAAAGAAAACAGCTTCCAAAATGGCTTCTTACTAATCTAAATGCGAAAGTTTAGATGGATTAGAGTTTGCCTAAACTGCTGAACGGATATCGATGAAATTTGGCATAGATGTAGCAAATAGTTTGGAAGAACAAATAGGCTTTTGTTTTATCCATTCCCGCGGACGGAGTCGCTGGCAAGAGCTAGTGTGAAATAATTAATTTCAATAGAAAGTATGAATAAACTTTACAAAACTACACTCACTATTTTGTCATAGCGCAAGAAAGTACTGTGAAGAAGAACATGTTTAGCATTCATTTGTTTTGTCAATTTCTTCAAATACTATTGTAATTAAGGCTCATGATATACTTGTCATATGTAATAGAAATTTGCAACATACTTCGTGATATTATAGAACGGCGCCTGTTAACCCAGTAATTGCAGGCACGCCGCTGTAACCGGAACAGTTTCAACACAGCCCGACACCAGAATAACCATCGCGATACACATCTAAACGACGTTCTGCAAGGGAGAATTTCTACAAGAAACGGTCTTCATCAAAATTTACGTTATGTTAAATTAAAACATGTAATATAAAGCATAAAACGGAATTATTGTATCTTACTAAAGGAAAATAAATCAATATCTGTTTGTCTTATAAATATTAACAAAGCACAGTACAGATTATGGTGTTTGGGTGTTCTATATGTCTAAGAGAAGTTTTGTGTACTAAACATATATTATCACTATTATAAATGCGAAAGTTTGGATAGATGGATGTTTGTTAGAGTTTGTAGCCTAAACGGCTGAACGGATCTCAATCAAATTTGGCATAGACGTAGAGGATAGTCTCGAAGAACACATAGGCTACTCACTTTTGTTTTTTATTACTTCCACGCGGACGGAGTCGCGGGCGAAATAAAATGTAAAGTTAAATCTAGCCTATAAATGTCTCCAACATCCTTTGCATATAGTTACAAAAATTGTCACATAAAATTTACTTGTTTCCTATTATTAAATTTTCAATCGAGAGTAACAATTCAACAAAGTAATCATCCAGGAACATGCAGTCGCGCAAATTTTATTGCACGTCATAAAGAAGTAATTTTGAACGCAGAAGCTCTCGGGGTTTCATTCCGCGTGCAGTTACTGCATAAAAACAGTTTTACCGTGATATATTAAAATTTCCGAGCTGCTTTTACGTTGCCTCTTGCCACTTACATTTAGGGCTGTCTCTACAAGTTTGACTTGAAATATGCGAGTTTCTACAATGCATATTTTGTCTGAGAGACATTATATGGCAGGTTTATGTGGGACTTGACTTACTAAAACACATTTCTCTGGCAATCCTAGATTGTAAGTTTAGAGTCTCGAGATCACTGAAAAAACGCCCCCGGACTCTCTTCATTGGGCTTCTGCATGACCCAGTTGGAGACTGAACTTCCCTCGTGACCATGAATACTA